CGTTCTGCGTCAATACAACACTGTTTATTCTTCATCAAACATATAATCATCTGATATGTATTGTTTATTATTTAACACATTATTACGCTCTACATCTTATAAATCTCGTCCATATGCATTTTGTATCTAGTCGGTTGCAAGTTGAACCATATAATATCACCGCCTACGAACCAGCATTCAATTATTCTCTTTGCGAACTTGAGTAACTGCTAATTCGTAATCTTGTTTGTTCCTCCTTTGTCATTAGAGATCTTTGGTGTGGCACCGGTATACCAAGTACTCTTTACTCAGTGCTTAAATCGTTTGATTCAGTAGAACAAAATGCCCATTCTTGTCTTACTCCAGCATAGTACTTTTTTGTTTTTTATTTGGTAATCATCGTTTCGCTCTGTCAAAAGCCAAACCCTTTGAAGTTTGCAACTATTGATCCTCAGGATGTAGACATTGTTCAATTTAATTATGCATTTGCAACAAGTACAAAAAGTGAATATTCATTGAATATAACTGTGAAGAATGTAATGACATAAACACAAGTACTCAAGTGCAACATTTTCATCATTAAATAATGTGAACATAGTTATTTACATGAACAATGTTCATTTATTACAGCCTCACATTACATACTCATCCATAGTCACTGACACATACGCACATCTTATGTCGTTTTGATGGGCATATGCATCGATCGTGCCCAGGTTGACTACACAATTTGGCAACATGCCATTTGACTATTGTGCCCTCATTATACTTTTGCAATACAGCAAGGAATTTTGGCTGCATAGAATATAATTCATCTCAATCACCAAATATCATTGCTAGCACAGTTTGTTTTGATTTTCATGCTTTCCGATACGATATATCATACTTATACATAGTGGCAATGTGTTTTATTAGCAAAATAACCTTCAGAGATGGATCTGCCCTAATGAGCTCTTTTATTCGACATGCAACGAATTGTGAATCTAATTGCACACGGTCTTGAGTGGCTGAAACATGCACACAAGTTTGTGGGTCTTCATATTTGGTAATTTGAAAAAGCCCTTGCGTTTTCTTTTGAATAGCTCGAAGCCTCCACTTACACCCCAAATGATATATTTTACACCGCACAACCAATAACTTTTTTTCACTTTCAACAACCTTGAATTGGACATGATTGTTGATTGAATAAATCTTGACTGCATCTTGCAATTCCAGTTTACCCTTAAAGATTAGGCCGATGGATAACTCAGGCCGATCCAGGTCCCACAATGGAGCTCTTGTTTGATTGGTGGGGGCAGACAGTTGGGAAAGTTCATCATTGGTGAAGAAGGCTGACGATGGCTCATGCATACGAATAGTGTCTTCCAATATGACTGATGGGCCACTTTTGTCAGCATCATCATTAAGGTTTGGCACATCGTCCATCAATGTAATCTCCTCGTCCTCATCGTCTGTGTCTTCTACACGATCAACCGCACACATTTCATTGGTCGCCAACAAATGAGCATCTGACTGAACCAAGTTTTGAATGACTTCAGTCCTTGCTTGAGCATGACATTGGATACCAACAGTGGAAGAAGATGTGGTGTATCCCAAATACATCGATGTTTGCGTACTAGGCCCTATATGTAATTCTGACACGTAAGCCTCAGCCTGCAAAATTCCATGGCCCGAATTAAACTCTGTTGTAAATATATCATCCCCATAAACGCTGGCACATGTTGATTGGGACACAGATTGATGCTCTCCTGTGTAAGCAATTTGATATACGGGGCATATTCATTCAGCATTGGTGGAGGAAATTGTTGGATGGACTCTGCCTGTATGTACAAGTAAATATTATTCAGTGCACGGTTCTCACATACAGCATATACCATCGCCGCAACATTAGCATCATTTTTAATTTCAAATTCGATGTACTGTTGCATGCCATCCCCCAAAAATGTTGGAAACTGAAAAATTAGTTGTAGTCGTGATGTTGAACTGTCCAACTGCATTACCGTATACAACGTGGTGGACAATTCATCATATGTTGTTCCTTATTTTAAATTTATACAATGATGAGGCTTTTCATTGTACGATAAACAACCTTCATTGTAGATAATATTATCTCCCCAATAGTACATTACTGTGGCACGTCTCCTCGACATTTTATACCTTCAAATAATTTTCATATTTAAATGACTGCCTTGGATAACATGACAGATTTTACTTTTAAACATACAAGTGGGTAACATTTACGCTCTATGGCTCTTGGGAAATGAATGAAAGGTGAAAACATCAAAGGGACCTCCTTTTTTGACATTTAGAAAACTAATGTTCACTCAAACTTGCAATAACACAATCAAGTGTTGATCGCATACTAAAAATTAATGTTATGGAGCTAAAACTAAACATAGTGATACACATTAAAGGAAAATAACACGAAAAGGAAAACAACTAAACATACACAACCAACCATATTTCCTATTAAGGAAATATGCAAAAAACTTTCACCAGCTACTCTACCAAATATGCTTGTGAATTGGTGAAAATGTTGGGGTAAGAAGTGAGGTTGCTAAGGGTATTTGAGAGCAAAGGATTTTCCTTAGTGGCCAATTATGTGGGAGGAAAATATACAGAAATGCTTTGTCGTTAGATTCAAGGATATAGAGTGTTGGAATTTCACTCGCAAGCAGGTGTCATATGTGTTTGTTAACTAAGGAAGACCTTTTGCCTTTGTTATTTTATTTTCCTTTTGCTCAAGACATATGGGGAAGGGTGGCTACAGTTGCTGAATGGAAATTCATTTGTTTTTTTCTAATGGTGGTGTCTTATCACTTTCTGGAAGGATGCGGTAGTATTGGGATCAAAACATGCTGCCAAATGGAAGGAGGGAGGAAGGTTATTATTAAAGGTAGCATCCACTATGTAATCAAACATTTGCGTACACTTGTCCAACACCTCTATTGTGTTCCTAACGAATAATCAATTTAATGCAGATCACATTGATTGCTTAAGGAGACAACGTCTTGTATAGCTGGATGGTCAGTTTCATTTTCTGTTTTGGCACAAAAATGTTTTCTTAATCTGCTTCCACCTATTTGGGATACAGTCTATTATGTTTGCAGCATGCCAATAAATAATATCATCCGTTTTTATCTCCAATATTGCATTACTGTACATTCATTTAAACACACAACAAATTCAGACCAAAATAAACAAGAAACACAAACTTATTGTACATGCTTTTAAATCAACTATCTCTGCATTTTAAAATATGTGGAAACTTTTATCCATATAAACCAAAAAAACAACCATACTGTACATGCTTTTAAATCAACAATTTCTCCATATTCTACTATGTGGAGAAATTTATCAAAATCAACCTGTAGCCAAGGAATCAACAACTGAAGGGAAAGAAGCTTTAATAGTTGGTAACATGGCAATAGAACTCATATTTTTCTAACCATTGTAACTAATGGCTTCACACGGAGTTACATCTAGAAACATTGCTCTGTCTTCACACAGACAACCCTGCCTAGATTTTAAAACTAACATCCAACGAAGAGTATTTCATAAAACAGAGGATCCACAAACTTCAATGAAACGCACTTCAAACAATTTCTTAACCATGAAAAACAAATAAGCTGACATACGCTCTGCTAAATTCATGGACAAATTTAGAAGACATTTTATTGACAGATGACCCAGAATTGATTTTCCATCAAGTAATCAGTATCAATTATGTGCAGAAATTTATCAAAATCAACCAGAAAACAAATTCAGACCAAACAAAAGAAATAACTTGAACTAATACTTCAAACTGTAAGGGGCTTTTCAGAATTCAACATGGATATTGATAGAATTTTAATTGTAAACAATAGAAGCACATGTCAATATTCCTAATGCACAAAAAAAAATTCTCAAAATACCTTCACATAGTAAATTTAACGAATGCAGTTCAAATAAAGTTTTTGAATAAAATTCAGTCCTCAAATTACTTTCACACAATAAGTCTCCAAAGTAAGGAAGGTTCTGAATTTCCTATGTAGTAAGGATGGAGTAAGGATGCAATGTAGTTCAAGCAAGCAACCGTATAGGGGTTTTCGATTTCCAATTACTCGAGGTAGCAACAGAATGGGGATTTTTGATTTACGCTTTGGGGATTTCTGAATTCGACTGTGAAGGGGATTGGGCAATGGGAATAATTTTCTAAACTTTCAAATTTCCTGAATTAAAGAGTGATTTTTAGCTTACCTAGTTATATAGATGTCTTCTGTAAAACACGTGAAGCTTGTCTTCTCCTTCCTTCAGACCTAGCCCACGGGTATGCACCAACCTACTGCACGATTTGACAAAAGACTGAGTAAGCTAGCCAAGACAAGAATCTCATAATTGCAATTAGGGCTCCATAGCAAGTCAAGAAAATCTCATGTTTTGAATCTTGTAGAAAATCGGTTGTCTTCTTTGAACAACCTTAGGGTTAGGGTGTTTTCATTTTTAGAGAGGCAAAGAGCTCTGAGGGTAGGGGATGATGGCGATAGCGAACATAAGAGGAACGGGGCTTTGGTGGGAGAAGAGAGGGAGAGGGAATCAATGCACAAAAAAGAGAGGGAAAAAGCTGAGTTTAACTGCCAGAGAGAAGAGAGGAGAGAGAGGGAAACTTCTGAAATAAGAGGAAGGGGGCCCTTGGTGAAATATAAAAGTGGATTTATTATATCCGCTTCATTTGTTAAAGCGGATATAATAAATCCGCTTTCTATGGTAAACCACTTTTGATTATTCCCCTAAAAATCGGATTCAAGAAATACGATTTTAACTTAAAGTCGGACTTAGTAAATACGCTTTTAACTTAAAGTCGGACTTGTTGATTCAGCCTTTAAAAACTGTCATAGATTGATAAATAAGTTCAAAACAACTGCATTTTGGTAATTAAGTTTTAAAAGAGCTGCATTTGGTAATAGATTCCACCATCCTCTTTCTTTCTCTCTCTCTCTCATCAAACCCACCTTCACCGAAACCTCACCGAAGCTCGCCAGTTTCTCATCGAAAACTGTCCCTGGAGAATTCAGAAAGTTGGCTTTTGAAAAGTACGAAGAATTTCGTAAGCTCTTGAAAGATTTCAGGAATCAAAAATTTGATGATACCCAAATATCATCAACCGCGAAGAAGCTGTTTGATGGGTATGATGATTTAGTCACTGGGTTCAACTCTTTCTTATCAGCAAAGAAGAAGCATGTCGCCACTTCGTTGGAGGCATACAATAGCACGGTGGACGATCAAACTCTGACTTCATCGTGGACAACACAGATCGAGTTGGTAAAAAAGGTTTAGAAGTGTTTTGGAGACGATGTTCAGAGAAATAAACCGTTTCTTGATGCTTTGGGTATGTGGAGGTTTAGGGACAAGGTCATTGATCGGCTCGATCAAGAGGTTGCTGGTGTGTTCAAAGAGCTCCCAGATATGTACATGGAGTTCAAGGGGTTTTATGGTGATTTTTTAGAGGAGAAATCAACTGATAAGGAAGTGAATCGACAAGAATCAAAGACTCAGAGAAACAAAAAAATTATATGTTCAACGAGAGGCTGAAACATACCTTCGACTCGTGAAGCAAACTCTCCGATTTGTCTCGATTATTACAACAAAGCATCTGCTACCACAAGCAGAACAATTGGACTTTCTCCATATCATGGGGCTACTCCACTCAAATTTGTGAGAAAATCTTCCCACCACACACACCCACGCCTATGCTTCCTCTAATTTTCTTCATTTATGTCAGTGAAATCAGTTTTCTTTGGCCACAAGAAGGCGACACGCCCATTCAAGGAATACTACACCGACTAGTTCAACACACTCAATTGCAGGCTAAGTTTGTTGAGAGAGTTGGAGTTGAGTGGGGGAAGTGGGAAGGGAGGAAGGAGGGAGTAAAAAAAGCAGTCGGGGAGGCAGTGGTGGCAGAGATGGAGGAGATGATGAGTGTTTTTATGGATGCCAATAGGCTAAGGAGAAGTGTTTTGACAGAGATTCTGAATGTTACAAATGTTTATCCGGTAGCTTTGTTTCTTGAACGACTTGCCCAATTTCTTATTGGGTTTCGTGATCATAAAATTCTAAGTCAATTTGAACGATCCAAAATGGTTATCAATTGATGATTCAATGAGTGGTTTTGGGGTTCAGTTGGTTGATAATGAGGCTATCTATCCTCTTATTTCTAGCATATCTTTGATAGAGTTCTGTATCTGAAACTTTTGTCCAAGTGCTAAAGTCACTATTCATATTGATCTCCACTTTTGTAGTGATTAACTCAAATATTCTTTATTTTGATTCTTTGTTCTTGGTGGTAATCTTCAGTTGTGCATGATTAATGAATGTTAGGGAGTCTTGAATTAGCCAATAGTTTTGCTTGATTATAATAGAAAATTCATGAATGAAAAGCCAAGTTTTTTTAAATAGGAATGTCACTGAATTACCATTTGATGAGTCAGTGTTGGCCTTTACAAGAACTAAGGACTCAAAAAATGTGAATTCAAGCACTTGATTTTCCCTCACAACACTTACAAAGGAGAGCAGAGGTAGCAGTGGAACTAAATGTATTAAGCCCAATCTTTCACTCTCTTAGTGAGTACTTTAGCAATGTATTACACAAAATGTTTTTCATTATCACCAACTGAATCATATAATTTGGAGGAATTGCATGATTAACCCTTTGTACATAACAGTGGCAATGTCAATCGTATTTTTCAATTATAAACAATCTCTAATCTTAAATCCAGTTCCAACATATAATAGCACATAAAAGTCAAATCAAAGTTTCCAATGAAACCATTCCACCATGACAAACAATTTTGATAGAACACACCCAATTCAATATACTAGCCATCTATATACCAAATGCTAAGAACACTTAAATCCAATTCCACCAAAATCAAATAATGAAAAAAGAGGTATCAAAATAAAACATTGTTAGCCAATCTATCAGCACAACATAGTTAGCCAAAAAATTAATCTCATACATCATAACTCCATTTCAAAAATAAAAGAAAAGAAAACAAATACAAATTTTTTTTCTTTGTCTTCCATTTGACTTTTAAGTTGCACCAAAAAATGTTGAATTTTCCTCCACATTGACATTTGCCTACACAAACCAAACTAATAGATCTTAAAATTGTATATAAATGGATCCAAAAGCTGTTGAAAAATCAAGAAAACTAATAGAACTTAAAATGGTATATAAGGAGTTCATAACTCACTTATTGGTCTGGACACTTTGAACCACCCTTGCCAACATTCCCATCCCTTCATGAATTTAGGCTTCCCTATATATAGCAAAAATTAGAAAGAAAATTAAAGTGCATGGAGATGTGAATTAGATGAAAATTAACAAATAAATATCGTACCGGCTGTTGTATGATATTGGACAATTATGTAGTATCATTGATTCCAAATATTATTGCAGAGTAGGGAACATGATCCATACCACATATACCTCTCCAATATGAAAAGTGTTGAGCCTAAATTTAAAGAACACATGTTAAATGCAAATTTTGAAGAGCCATTTCTTATTGAGATTGAGTGGCAGTGAGATGCAAGTATGAAATGAAAGGAGATAAAGCAATAAAGCCTTGGATCAAGTGCTGCCCAGAAGGGGCAAGAAAAGGTAAATGGCTCCGATCTTCCTAGTATTCAACTTCTAAACAATAAGCAAAGAAATGCTCATATTTAAACTCTCTTTAAATTTTCACTGGCAAATCTAAGAGGAAAAATTTATTGCTTTGAAAGAGAATTCATGAAACACTAATTCCTAAAAGAATTCCATAAAAGATATTAAAACTGAGAAATGTGAAGATTAATAATGAGGGAGTCTTAGATAGAGTTCTAATAATTATTTGAAATTTTACAAAGATTCCACAAATATGTTCATGAAAATTGTAAACTAAGTTATTTTGACACAGAAAACCAATACAGAAGCCAACACTTGTAGACTAACTTATTCCAAAAAATAAAGAATTAAAAGAAAAACCAATTAGTTCATACCCATCAAACAGCTTCTTCATAGTTGTTTATAGTTGGGTATCATCAATTTTTTGATTCCCGAAATCTTTCAAGAGCTTACGGAATTCTTTGTACTTTTCAAAAGCCAACTTTCTTAATTCTCCAGGGACAGTTTTGGGCAAGAAATTGGCGGCCTCTGGCGGGGTTTTGATGAAGGTGGGTCTGATGTGTGTGAGAGAGAGAGAGAGAGAGAGAGATAGAGAGAGAGAGGATGGTGGGTCTGATGGATATTTGACAGTGGAAGGGGGAGGTGAAAAGATTTTGGCCAAATATTAATCTTTTTATTAAATGACATGGTAGCTAATTTGGAATGTTGATTAGGCTGCCATGTCATTTGGGCTATAATTTTGGTCAGCCTAGTATTACTCTTATAGCAAGCATCTCTAGCTATCATTCCAATTCTTCATAACCTTGTACCATTGTAGCCTAAACACCAAAATTTGACCATATATATACTTAGAAGAGAATAAGCATGACTTAGAAGAGACCTAACATGTAATCCACTAAACATTAAATAATAAGCAGGATGATTCAAAATAATCTTAAATGTAGTAGAAATTTGAAATTCATAAGTTTCATCATGTTCGTTTTGTGAAAAAGTGAAAAGAACCCAAAATAACCTTTTGTTACCATGGGGTTGGGGGGGGGGGAATGACTCACCAACTAATTAAATTTCCATATAAAATTGAATGATCAACATTCTTATGAAAATCAAACCTGTTAAAGGCAGGATTACATTGACTCATTTGTTCCAATTAAAGTCAAAGATGTATCCAAAAAGGTAAGCAACCTGCACAAATCCATATTTCAATGATACATAATATTTTGTGGCAAAGAAAACTATGATGAAGATGCTGCTGATGACAAAATACTAGAAGTTTCTTTATATCTTGCAAGCCTTGTAGTAGAATATGTATTCTATCAATTGGGGTATACTACAAATCTTTCAATTCACCATAATAATTTATGCTTTTCTTATAAATAGATTATTATGCTATTTTAAGAAAATTCATGAATTTATAACCATGTAATTTCAAGAACTGGGATTTCTTAAATGATTAAACAATTGACAAATCACATGCACATCGTTCTTCTTCTACATATATTGATGTTTAATAAAAATCCATATAAGAATTCCATACAAACATATAATCAGACAAATAAAGGACCATGTCTAATGAAGAAAGAAAATGCCTAACCATAAAAAAATTGTGTAGAATAGATACATAAGCAATGAGAGGACAATACCTATGCACCGAGAGAGAGAGAGAGAGAGACAGAAAGAGAGAGAGAGAGACTGAGAGAGAGAAGGGTTTGAATTGGTGAAGTATGATTTCATCTATGTATAGCAGTAAGTGGAAAAAGCGGGGTTCATTTCAGATTGAGTATTTTTTACACTTTTAATGCTAATTTTATCCTTTATCAATAATTACTGTAGTGATCATATTATTCCTGCTAAAATATCAGTCACCAATATAGTGATCCCATCATTTCATATTCTCAATGCTTTCATCTGTTCATATTTTCAGTGATGGTCTAATTGGTTGAAAATTAAATTTTCAGAGTTTATAGTCTATACATTGGTCCAAGTTAAAATGCTAATTGATATATTTATTCAACTGAACATCTAGTCCTAGAATACGGATAGTCAAAAAAATTTAAATTCAGTTGTAATTACAATCACCATTGGGTTAGAAATAAGATAGTTTTACAATATTAATTACAGGAAAAATTAAAAATCAAAAGTTTTTATGTTTAATTTATTAGTCTAGAATTCTTTTTATTAGTCATATCATCTTACATTTACTTCTTAGACTCTTCCATTTCTAGGAGTAAAGATTTTTATCCTTCAATTTTTTTTACTCTATCATAAAGTTCATTTCATCCTTAATTTAATAATTAGAAAAACTCATGCAACTTTTAGAATTCTAAAAATAAATATTTAGTATACATCTAATTTATAACATAGATAATATTAATATACATATCTATCTATATTTATTTATATATGTATCTATATATCTATCTAATGTTAAGAATGATTATTAAACCTCAGGGACTACCTTTATGGATACTCAAAAGGCCAACCCTTCATCTCTCTTAATTTAGTAATTTTATTGGGTCATTAATTTATCTACTTACGTATTGGCCATCAGTTTCCCAAAAAACAGAAGAATAACATTTTGCATTTAATACAATAGTTACCTACATGCTACATCAATAAATACACCAGTTTAATACATTCCTAGGCTTATTCCTCTCTCTCTATCTTCTCCTACTCCTCGTCACAGGAGGTAGCACCACCACTTGTGATTAAAGCGGTGAATAGAGGACAAGTATCACGTCTTTCCCTATCCCTTTCTCTTTACCAATCTACTTTTTTGGGCTGATCAACTACCAACTCACTCTCTCTTTGTATAGAAATGGTGGTTGCAAAGTCAGAGAAACTTGAATCGATGGCTTACTCACCTTCAAGAAGACCCTATGACACATCCTTATATGGACGGTGGACCCTGATCATCCATTGTCAATGCATCCGATCAAAGGCCTGTAATTCTCAGAGTATGTTAAAAGCAAAAAGGCAACGGAGAACAAAAACCCAGAACTTATCTTAATAATATGCCACACTAAGATTAAGAACGGAAACAAGCCCTAGAACTTATTAGTTGTGTGGCAAATTTTATATAAAAACTCAAAATTATGGATCTTAGAGCAGTTCCTTTGTTTGCATTTAGTATCTTGAGCTCACTTCACATTCCTTATCCTTTGTTTTTTGGGGTGGGTTTGGAATGACTCTATTTATTACTCTAGAATTTCTTGCATTCCAGGTTTGGTGACCATGTGCATAATAATAATGAAATGGATTAAATGGAAGTAAGCAACATTATCAAACCATCTATTTGAATTAATGTCACTCCATGTTCTCGACAAGAGTAGCTTGAGTTGCAAGCCTAAATTTCTTGATTAGAAATTGATTTTGACCTGTTAATTTCATAAC